AACTAATTTAATAGAGAAAACTAAACTAGTATTGTATCGTAATCTACACATTTTTCCTGTTAATATCGGTATCGGCACCCCCCAAAATTTGGTGCATCCATATTTATTAGACATTTATCTGAGTAAGTTAATTTCATGTTTTCTTTGAGAATTTTAGGAGACTTTCACAGTGTGAAGATGGCATGGTGTGAGACATGCTGAGAGTTAATGCACAGGAACAGTGAAATATGAGCATTGATCATTGAGAATGAAAGTGTTTGACAGGCTTGAGGAGCAGAAATGAGCAGAACGAGAAACATCAGAGATAAAGTATGAAGTATAAGAGTGCAGCGTTTACCTGAGCGCTGGTTCTGTGGAGGAACAACACCATTATACACACACAAACAGCACTCTCTGTGAGCTCAAACGGGGATTTCTTGTGGGATACAGAAGCCGTTATGTCTGAATAATAAACTAATAAATTAAACTTGAACACTTTCTGAGCAAGATAATAAATAATTTACTATTTGTTTCAAGTCATAACCTTTTTAATTAGAAGTTTCTCCCTGACATATGCTTATGAAATTGGTATAAAATAGTCATGTTTTTAAAATGTTTTTTTTTATTTAAAACTATTGTTATTGTTTTTCAGAACAGGAATTTTGTTTATTAAACCTGATGTATGAAATAATCAGCCGATTTGAATGTTACCACTCGATTATCAGTGGTTATCTGCTAAGATATAATGGGCCAGTAGGCGCCTCATGTACCTACTAGTAGGCTCAGAGAGCTGTTATTATTCATTTACATGCTAAATCAGCTATAGATAACGAAAGTTAACGAGAATTATTTATTACATTTCCCATTTTGTATTTTATTAACATCCCCTACCCCAACCATCACAGTAATGTAAAATAAGATCTGGAGTCTTCTCTATTAGTATAGCTGATTAACCATGTGAATGGATGATAACAGCCTTCTAAAGCCTGGTTTATACTTCTGCGTCAAGTGATCGGCGTGACCTACGACGCATGCAACTCGCGTAGCTGTGCATTTATACTTCTGCATGCTGTTTCTGTTGGTCGGCATTAACACTTTCGAAACGCTAGTTGGCAGTGAGGTGTTTGTGTTCCTCTGTTTTGAGTTTCTTCGCTGGTGTTTTGTTTTTCCTGAACGCTTCCTGAATGTACAAGTGGCTCAAACTCGCTCAGTTTGAGGCAGGAACCGGCGGACGTGCAACAACTTTAACTATGAGGTAAACACAAAACAAAACTTTCCATCCGGAGCTCCTTCACGAGACTCCACACTTGTAAACAATCTCCATCGGGCTCGCGGTGCTCTCGGTCCCACCCAGACTCCTCAGCGCTACCAAGCCGACCAATCACAGAGCTTGCATTATGTGTCGTTGCGATATGTAGTTAAATTTTTTTGAGCGGTGCACGTCAGCGACGCCGACGGTCGCGGCGTAGGGCTATGCATCAACACGCAGGCTGCGCCATAGCATACGTGTGTGCTTGACGCAGAAGTATAAATCAGCCTTAAGCCTACTAGTAGGCGCAGAAGGCCCCTACTGGCCCATATTTATCAGATGATAACCACTGAAAACGTCCATTCAATTAAGTGATAACATTGGTAGTGGGTGAAATAGTAGTTAATTTTACAGTTAATAAATAATTAATGTGAGATTTAGAAGTGTTTTCCATTTTTTTACTGTTCTGAATTACATTAGAGGACTTTTATCTCTGCCCTGTCAGCTTTCAATGTTGAAAATTCAACCCTACAGTTTAAAAAAAGTGACTTTTATTGACATTTTACTATTTTGAAACATTATATTGTATAACAAATAATTTATAGAGAATAAATTCTGTAGGAAAAGGGCTCGCAGTTTATTATTCCGTGATTTGTAAGACCAACAAAGCCAATATATCACTTTAGACTATTAAAAATGTAAACAAATGTCACGTTTTCAACATCAATTGCTGTTGAAGGAAAGATAGAGGCAATAAAAAAGCATAACTAAAGGGAAAAAACCCTGAATAACAGTATAGAAAACTATTGATTTACAGATATTTTTCAAGTCATTCATTTTCTTGTCGGCTTTTTTAACCGGGGTCGCCACAGCGGAATGAACCACCAACTTATCCAGCAAGTTTTTACGCAGCGGATGCCCTTACAGCCGCAACCCATCTCTGGGAAACATCCACACACACATTCACACACTACGGGCAATTTAGCCCACCCAATTCACCTGTACCACGTCTTTGAACTGTGGGGGAAACCGGAGCACCTGGAGGAAACCCACGCAAAGGCAGGGAGAACATGCAAACTCCACACAGAAACGCCAACTGATCCAGCTGAGGCTCGAACCAGCGACACAGCGACCTTCTTGTTGTGAGGCGACAACACTACCTACTGCGCCACTGCCTCGCCTTATTTTTCAAGTATAAAAGAAAATCTTAAAAAACGCTTAAATGTTTTTAATAGAGTATCGCGTTTGCTGCCTCAGACTTCTAGGGATTAAACAATTTAGAGAGAAAAACAGCTCAGTTTTATTTAAAGGATCAAACTGAGCAAATATCAGACAGATACAAATAACATGAATACATTTCCTTACATGTATTTAATAATAATTAATAATAATTCGTTACATTTATATTGCGCTTTTCTGGGCACTCAAAGCGCTTTACACAATGGGGGGGGAATCTCCTCATCCACCACCAGTGTGCAGCATCCACCTGGATGACGCGACGGCAGCCATTTTGCGCCAGACCGCACACCACACACCAGCTGATTGGTGGAGAGGAGACAGAGTGATGATATGCCAATCATGATATGGGGAGGGTTAGGAGGCCATGATGGACAGAGGCCAGTGGGCAGATTTGGCCAGGATGCCGGGGTTAAACCCCTACTCTTTTTCGAAGGACATCCTGGGATTTTTAACGACCACAGAGAGTCGGGACCTCGGTTTTAACGTCTCATCCGAAAGACGGCGCTCACTGAGCAGTATAGAGTCCCCGTCACTATACTGGGGCATTAGGACCCACACAGACCGCAGGTTGGGCGCCCCCTGCTGGCCTCACTAACACCACTTCCGGCAGCAACCTAGCTTTCCCAAGTGGTCTCCCATCCAGGTACTGACCGGGCGCAGCCCTGCTTAGCTTCAGTGGGCGACCATGTGAGAGTTGCAGAGAGCTAGCTGCCGGCTATTTCTAATAGCTTGTCGTAAATCAGTGAGCTTACTACTTGTATAAAAGTATATAAGTGTTGGATGTCATCCCATTTCTCCAGTAACATATCTTAAATGCTTAGTTTTATAATCAAGGCTCTGTAAGTTTTAAAACCCATAATGCAATGCACAGCAATGCAGATTGAGAGATGAACACATAAAGGCTCCACCTCTGAGAAACAGTGAGATAAAAGGTTCTGGAAATAAATGATTTTGAACAGATACAATTTTAGATGAATAGATTTATATTTAGATGACCTATAGTGCATGTCTTTGGGCTTGTGGGGGAAACCGGAGCACCCGGAGGAAACCCGTGCGAACATGGGGAGAACATGCAAACTCCACACAGAAATGCCAACTGAACCAGCCGAGGCTCGAAACAGCGACCTTCTTGCTGTGAGGCGATCGTGCTACCCACTGCACCACCGCGTTGCCTTATAAATTAAATTAATTTGTATGTTGATATCTGTCCATTAGTTTTTTGTTGTTAAGTTTCTAGTTTCTTTAAATTAAATTTTAGAAAGAATAAGTGAAAATTAAGAGGGTTTTTTCTCAAAACAAGCTAAATAATCTGCCAATGGGGTAAGCAAAATAATCTGGTTTTCACTTTGAAATAAAATGGTCCTGCTTGCCATATTGGAGAGATTATTTAGATTGTTTTACCGAAAAACTCTTAATTTTGACGTATTATTTCTGAAAATAAGACAATATGTTTTGCTTGTCTAGAAAACGCTTCTTCACTTAAGCTTAATTGACTTAATTTAAAAATTTGGACTAGAATCAAGACTAAAAAACTAAGAAAGAAAATAATTTATTTGCACTAAATAAATTGACTTGACTTGTTATTATCAATAAGATTGTATATCAACTTAATACTGCATATTAATTTCGAGTGTGTCCTCGTTGCAGCCTGCAGCATGATGGCGTACTGGATCAGGTCCAAATAGTGCAAGCTGCTGTTGCTAGAAATGAGAATTTGTTCGTTTATTCATCCATTTTTCTCCGGCTTAGTACTTTATTTATTAGGGGTTGCCACAGTGGAATGAACCACCAACTATTCCGGCATATGTTTTACGCAGCAGATGCCCTTCTAGCCTCAACTCAGTACTAGGAAAAGACTCATACACTCTCACATTCACACACACTCATACACTCTGGTCAATTTAGTTAATTAATTCCCCTATAGCGCATGTGTTTGAACTGTGGGGGAAACCTAAGCACTTGGAGAAAACCCAAGCCAACACAGGGAGAACATGCAAACTCCACATAGAAATGCCAACTGGCTCAGCCGTGAATTGAACAAGCGACCTTTGTGGCGGCAGTGCTAACCACTGAGCTGCCCTAAATTTGAATTATTTATATTGATTATTAAATTTCCGATTACAATGTGTGTTATTAATGTCTACACCTACCCTAACTGTCACATACACTAACATCTACACCTACCGTTACATGGTTCCAGTAGCATAGGCATTACCATAGTGGTTATTTCAATGTCCACTACGTATTGGACCTGATCCAGAATGTAATCATGCTACAGACTGCAGCGAGGACATCTTGTAATCGTCACCCATGTTGTCTATAGTATATTGTATATCCTGACCATTATTCTTCTATTGGAGTAAAATCAACAACTGTATGATGACCACAAGGATATCACTGCATCACAGAGAGCACTGAGTGAGAAAGATGAAGAGAGAGAGAGAGAGAGAGAAACAGAGACAGAAGCACAGCAGGGTGGGTGGAATACTATAACAGCGCTGTGATTTGTTGGTTGTTATAATACTCCACCCACCTTAGCTGCGATCCTTTAGGCGTGGCGACGCCGTAGCCCTTGGAGTCCAGATTCCCTCCGACCTTCATGGTGTCGCAGGGCTTGCGCTGTTCTGTGTACTCGTTCATGGTGGACTCCAGCAGGAAGGCGTATTTGCCTTTGGACTTGCGGACTCGAGCGACGCCCTCTGCTGTGGTCTTGGTGAAGACGGTGGGCTCCGCTGACTTCATGTAACTCCACATTTTTTCATACACCGCGATTTTCGATCTCTAGAGAGTGAAAGACATGTGGTGGAACACTGGAATTTGTACCCATAGCCTCTTTCACACATAGGCCCCGTTTACACTAGTGCGTTTTAGTTTTAAAACGGCGTTTTAGATTAAAAACGATCCGCGTCCACACTAGCGATTTACCTAGCGTTTCTTAACATATCTCCGTCCACACTACGCCACCAAAAACATATATCACGTGACCATTCGCGCACTCTGGGCATGCGCGTTCTAGTATAAACAGGAAGCATGTGTCTCGCTTGGCATTTGGTTTTTGTTAGTCAACAAACGCCGGTTGAACAATGAACACGATGGCAAAGAAAGCAAGAGAGGTATTTTTGTGGACAGACGACGAGGTTGAGATGTTACTAAACGTAACAAATGAATACCTGCAAAATGGCGCCTAAAACAGACAATAGTGCAAACAACGCTCCCATTTCTGTGTCCATGTTGTTGTTTACAGTGAAGGTTGGTCTGCTGTCTTCCGGTAGCGTTAAAGCCATGTGTTATAGTCATGTGATAGGGGCTTGACGAATAAGGGAAGGATACGCAATGACACAAAAGCCCCAATCAGGGAGCGAATCTCAGCAGCCCCGTCTCCGTTTTCAGATGTCTCCATTTTCTGTCATCCACACTGAGACGGTGCAGCAGCGTTTTAGAATAAAAAAAGACTCTCCAGCGTTTTTAAAACGCTTCGTTTCGGCGTTCAAAAACTCCGGCGTAGTGTGGACGAATGGCGTAACCGTAGCAAAACTTATGCGTGTTCAAACTAAAACATATTAGTGTAAACGGGGCCATAGTGTACAAGTTATGCACTAAATGATGCACTACACCAGGGGTGCCCAAACTCAGAGTTTAGCTCCAGCTTACCTCAATATAGCTGCCTGGAATTTTCTAGTATGCTTACATAGAGCCTGATTAGCTAGTTTAGGGGTGTTTAATTGGGGTTGAAGCTAAAATCTGGGCTCAATCAGGACTGAATTTGGGCACCCCTACACTGAACATTTTGCAGTTGACCCAGCCGGGGCTTGAACCAGCGACTTTCATGCTGTAATGCCGAGTTCAGACTGCATGATTTTCAAACTAGTCGTGTCACAGATGTTTTCACACTGCATGGCTATCTAGGCTAGCGTTTCTTCGCTGCTTTGTTTGCACTGCAAGGTGGATCGGCGACAGGGACTTTCACATTGCATGACTTTAGTATACGAAGAATCGCCAACAACTTCGTCCAAACTACGTCTCACAGCCAAAAACACGTAGTATATCTTTTGTTATTAACTACATAATGAGGAAGAAGCCTTTAATGGGGTAGAACATGTACATGTTTGCTCACCTGGGTTTAAAGGGAATTAGCCATTTCTCCTCAATGTTGATAATAAACAAATTTCTATCTGTATGAAACGTCAAACAGACACGGGTGCTCCTGAGTCCTGTCAAACCTCCACTAGTTTTCCCTCCATTTTCGGGGGTCCAAATAAACCGAAGAAGAGCGCTTTTAACTTCCCCCCCAGCCTCCCGCTGGCCTGCAGCAGGTATACACACACACACACACACACAAGTGAATGCTGCTCTCTCATTGGCTGAAGGCGATCGCCGATGTTATTTTCAGTCAAAACTCAATTCACACGGCATGATTTGACTCATCGGCGATTCTCTCAGATCGCGTCTTTGATAGTTCATACTGTGTGATTGTCACTCACGTGCACGAGCAGCGATTTGCCTGTGATTTCAGGCAATTGTCGGCGATTTCTCAAAACCTGTCGGAGAGCCAAAATTGGGGCTAAAATCACGCAGTCTGAACTAGGCATAAGGCGATTGTGCTACCCACTGCGCCACTGTGATGCCTAATCTAGCTTGATAAATGTAAATACATTTTTTGAAAAATCTACATTTCATAAACTTTCTGGGATTTAAGATGATGACCAGATTGTCTGTCACTGTCTTACGAAGAGTCTACAGAAAGTACAAAAGAAAAGCATTTATTTGAAATCTTTTCCGACATCAGAAATGTCTTTCCTGTCACACTTGATCAACTGAGTCCACCCCTGCCGAATAAAACATTCATTTCTGTCAGTTTAGCACTCGCTCAGCTCTGAAGTGTGCACCGCTGCTCAGTCTTTCGCTGTAAAAAAAGACGAATGGCTCTAATACGGCCTGTTTTGTCCTCTGAGATCTCCTATTTGACATGCTGATGTCCCAGTGTGTGTTGCAGTTGATCATCTGTGTCTCTTTCATCCGCAGGCTTTAGTCCGGAGCTCCAGCATGTGAGAGAGAAGCGGCGGCGCGTGACGGACACTCAATCCATTATAATGTTGGTCACGTCCAGCCTGGAGTCGAGTGCTGTTGTGCTGTAACACTCCAAAATAAAACATCACACACGCCGATGAATAAACAACACCCTCGACAAACCTGCGCTCACACACAACAAATGACAAACAAACTCAAGTGCTCGTCCAAACACCGCGGGACGCCTGACATTTACTTATTTCTTATATCCCCGGTTTGCTGATCAAATGCTTTTCTCCAGTATATCAGCCGTGCGCTACAAACACTGAGACAGGCTGACGCTCTTATTGTGATGGTTGCAGAATGAATACTATATCATAGCTCTATGTACTACAGTTGAAGTCAAAATTATTCACTATCCTTTTCTGTTTCCAATATTTCCCAATTGATGTTTAACAGAGCAAGGAATTTTTTACAGTATTTCCTAAACTATTTTTTCTTTCGGAGAAAGTCTTTCATTCATTCATTTTCATCCACTTATCCGGGGCCAGGTCGCGGGGGCAGCAGTCTACGTTCACACCGAATGCGGCGAATGCGTCAAAGTAGCCAGAAGTCATTCATTTTTAATGAGAGCCGGCGGCAAGGAGCAGCGCGGTGCGTCTTCACTGGTGTGGGCGTTGAGGAGAGTTGAAATCAAGTCAACTTTATGGTAATGAACTATGACGCGGTTTGGCGTCAAGCAATCAGAATAAAGACGTCCACCGCTTGACAGGAGTCCAGAGAACACAGACCTGTGAACTTACTTAACTTAACTTAAGTTACTGTCGAATTACTAATGTGCATTAATGATATATTTTTATCTTTAAAATAGCGGTAATCTCATGCTACAATACAGAACAGTTTTGCTGCTTCAGGATATTTCAGACACATGGACACATTGGATAATTAAGTGGAGCAAAGCCACAGCACACGCAACTTGATGATTCATTGTTAAATGAATTTGATAAAAAGTGTGCAACTGTAACCCCACCGGTCCTATGCCACCCAACCCACTCCGAGCTGGTATCGAACCAGCTACCTTCCGCATGACAGTCGGTCGCTTTACCAAGGAGGCTAAAGACCATGGTGTCTAGTGTCTGTTGCTAGAGCACCTTTAAAGGTCAGAGGAATAAGGGTTACTTGCAAAGCACCTACTAGCTGGCATCCGTTACACTTACCTTCCTAAACCTCACTCCCATCCAAGTCTCGGCACCAATGTAACCCCGCCATCCTACGCCACCCAACCCGCTCCAAGCTGGTATCGAACCGTCAACCTTCCGCATGGTAGTCAGTTCCGCGACCAAGGCGGTTAAAGACCAAGGCTTCTATTGTCTGTCGCTAGAGCACCTTTAGAAGTCAGAGGAGTGAGGTTTACCTGCACAGCACTTACTAGCTGGCCTCCGTTACACAACATTTTCATGCTAGAAAGCATGTTTTATGCAGGAATGTAACTGATATGCTGCAACGGCAACTCTTTAAATATGAGATCAATGAAATTTGATTCTCTCGACGCCGGAGCTGAAGGCAGACTATGTTGTTGCCAGGGTGGCCAGAGCGACCTTGGACGCTCTCTCCGCTTTTGGTGTGAACGCACAGTTAGTATTGAACTCCAGACTTGCCTTTTCCCAGACACTTCCTTCAGCTCCTACGGGGGGATCCCAAGGTGTTCTCAGGCCGGCCGAGAGACATAGTCCCTTCAGCATGTCCTGAGTTTTCTTCGAGGTCTCCTCCCAGTGGGACATGCCTGGAACACCTACCTAAGAAGGCGTCCATGAGTCATCCAAAACAAATGCACAAATGCAGCTCTACTCCCGGGTGTCAGAGATCTATAAGTGTGTGCCCTGCCACCCTTTGAAGGAAACTCATCTCGGCCGCTTGTATCCGACATCTTGTCCTTTCGTTCATGACCTAAAGCTTATGACCATAGGGGAAAGTAGGAACGTAGCTTGACCGGTAAATCAAACGCTTTACCTTTCGGCTCACCTCCTTCTAAACTACAACGGACCGGTACATTGACCGCATTACTGATGCTGCTGCACCAATCCGCCTGTCAATCTCGCGTTTCACCCTGCCCTCACTTGTGAACAAAGATTCTTGAACTCCTCCACCTGGGTTAAGGACTTTCCTCCAACCTGGAGAAAGTCTGACTTGTTTTATTTCGGCTAGATTAAAAGCAGGTAAAATGTTTATTATTATCGTATGCATTACAGTTGTTGTCTCACCCTGAAGAACTCTTTGGTGGAGCCCGAATCGAGAGTCCCGTAGGCGATCTCTGTCTGCTTGGCCAGGTCTTCTGCGCTCTCGATGGGCGACACCATTCTCTCCACGGTCAGGAAAGCTGCCAGGTTTGCAGTGTAGGAGGAAATAATGATGAGAGTGAAGAACCACCAAACTCCTCCGACTATGCGCCCAGACAGAGACCTGAGAGAGAGAGAAAGAGCATACACTGTTAAAAAAAACCTGCAAATGAGCAGTTTTCCGTATTTTATGATTCATGTTTTTATTTCGCCCCATTTATTTGTCCTTTTGATTTGCATTATGGGACCTTGATCTTTCTTTTAACAACTTTTAACCTTAAAAGGTTGAAAAAGTGACTTTTATGAACATTTTTAATAGTTTAAAGTAGGGATGTCCAGATCCAATCACGTGATCAGAATTCAAGCCCGATCACATGGTTTCAGACTCGATCGAAATCGGACGTTACCTCTTAATCAGGACTTGAATATATATGTATATTATATACAGTTGAAGTCAGAATTATTTATTTATTTCAAATAAATAAATTTTTAAATAAATTATTTATTTATTTCAAAAAAGAAAAAAATTCTACTGATCAGATCGCTTTGAGAAAAAGCACGCCTATAGCTAACCTAAATTGCAATGAATCATGGGTTTATCAATTTTATTGCAGCCGTGACACACCAACATATCTGGCCCAGTTCAGGCTTAGTTATGGGTTATTAACTTGAGACTTGACCCAGATATGGTCCATGTTTGGCCGTTGTCTGGAAGCCAGACTTGGTCTAGTCGTGTACCATAATTCACTGCCGCATGTGGGCCAAGCAAAAGCTGATTGTGTGGGCCAGAGCTTGGCCAGGGAGGATGTGGGATCCCATGGTTGGTTAATCCATATTTGACCCAATGTTGGATTACAACAACCCAGCATTTATCTATTTACATTTGTAATAATGAATGTTTTTCCACATTTAAGAGCAGCAAAACTATGCAATATCCCAAATGGAAATACAAACTCCATTCATTTGTCCAAAAATACGGCTAAGTGAAGTTTTTCAAACTAATTTCGAGAGGAGCACGTGATATAATTGACTGCAGCTGGCCGTCTATCTACACTCATTAGTTAGCCAATCAGATCTATCATAACTCACTATAAGTAGCCTAGCTAGATATTACTCCCTTATTTTCGTTTTCCGAAGAAACCCCCCATCCACCCCCTTTCTCCTCCTTTCCAAAAAGAGGAGCTTTCGAGAACCACCTGATCTCGTACTCCCCTCACATGCTCTATGGACCTGGTGGGAGCCCTGGGCTCAACTATCTCCGAGCTCAGGGTTCTCTCCCGGGACAGCATGCCAAACCTGCTTACAGTTGTCAAGCAATATCTAAGTGTGAACTCTTGAAAACAGTAATATTCATTCATTCATTCATTTTCTTGTTGGCTTATTCCCTTTATTAATCAGGACTCGCCACAGCAGAATGAACCACCAACTTATCCAGCAAGTTTTTACGCAGCGGATGCCCTTCCTACCACAACCCATCTCTGGGAAACATCCACACGCACACACTCATACACTACGGACAATTTAGCCTACCCAATTCACCTGTACCGCATGTGTTTGTACTGTGGGGGAAACCAGAGCACCCAGAGGAAACCCACGCGAAGGCAGAGAGAACATGCAAACTCCACACAGAAACGCCAACTAAGCCGAGGTTCGAACCACCGACCTAGCGACCTTCTTGCTGTGAGGGGACAGCACTACCTACTGCGCCACTGCCTCGCCCTAAAACAGTAATATTGTGATATATTATTAAGATTTTAACAGTGAAGGATGGAAAAGACAATCACAGCTTCTGTTTCATGCTGATTTTAAACCACTGAAGGAGAAATGTGTAAGCCTGGCACGTAACGAAGCATAAAAATGGATTTGTTACTGTTCAGTATCAGTCTGTGAACCTGATGTGCCTTCATCTGATTGCTTTTCCAAAGACAACTTTCACATTATGCCGTATGAAATATCACATCTGTAATCTGTGGTTTCCATTTAGCCGACAAACAATCACCAATTAAGAACAGGTACAGAGATCTAGTAATATTATTTGGAGTCCTACATCAGTCATGACTAAAACAAAACAGCATTGGCGAAGAGTAACATATGCGATGTTTCATTTAGCATTTTCTGTCATCATTTAAGACTTAATTTTCTCACTCTGCAAGATGGGGATATTACATTTGCACTTTAGAAATGACTTTACACTATTTCAAGTGACAGAACTCTCATTATAAGACCGCAGCACGTCTGCAAAACCTGCAGTAAATCCAGAAAAATTAGATCTCGTTAAAAGCGTGCCATTCTCCTTCTTGGAGTAATCTACTGAAACACAGTTCATCAATAACAGGACACATCTCGGAGATACATTCAAACACCATAGTAAAATTTAATTACCCTAAAACACCAGGCAAATGCATATTATATTGTGATACGCCGCAGGCAATGGAAAGGTTTCCTCAACAATAAATGCTGGTAAAAATGTAAATGGAGCTGCCCAATTGAGTGTCAAGTCAAATTACTCCATTTCTTATTGGATTTCCTCAGAAGAAACAAATCTATCAGTTTATTTGGTTTCTGGTCCATTTAACAAAGTCAGACGCATTCTGATAACACTCTCCCAATGAAAAACTATAGTATATTATCTCACACTGATTATCATAAGCAACTAACACTGAATTAGATTGGAATGTGAATACAATTAAAACTTAAAGCATTACTACAGTTATTTGATTAATAGAGAGAATGCTTTGTATTAAAATTGACCTCATAAAATCAATTGTTTTCTACAGCAATCTTAATGTTTTTTTATACAGAGTTCTACCTTTTAGATATGAAATATTGTTAAAGAGTAAAAAAAATGTCGGAAAAGAATTGTGTAACTGTTTCTGGGTTTAAATATTCGCGTATACATTCTAACCAATCATGTTTAGAATATGGTTTGAGTTATCTGGAATTAGACCAATCACAAGGCAGTGCTCGTGCTGTTATTGTCCAATTACTGCGTTGATACAGGTTGGGGGCGGAACGAACAGTAGGGTTTCACGGTAAGCGGCAAGTTTATAAAAGTAAAATTATGATGATTTACGTTGTTTTTTTTAAGTACACATCGGCAAAAATGTGTGTAATGACGGTTATTAACACACGCTGCGGGCTTTATTACTGTTTGTTTGAATTGCCGCTGGATAAACAAATGAAAGGGATTTTGAGGTAACGTTACAACTCTGAGAGGATCAGTCGATGTTTTTTATTATTATCGCAGATTGTACCGACCAACACAAACTCTTGAAACCTGGAGAAGTTTTAGATGATTGGATTTAATAAGGCTCAAACCTCCGTGTTTACAATCACATCCGTACCGAGAGCTTTACTGCATCTGCGCCACACAGGTAACGTTAAGCCTCTTACTGAAATCTAACTAAGTTAGCAATGAAAGAATATCAAGAGGAAAAAAGGTCAGAAAGGGATTACAATCGCAATTATTATATACAAATGCAATTATGTGAGTCTTTTTAAAAATAGCTTTCTTAATCAATATTGTCACAATTATATATTTTTTCTTGAACACGTTTTGCTTTAGAATTTCGCGGCCATGAGCACTAGGCTTTTATAAATAGTGCTACGGGATGAAGTCTGCTTTTACTTTCAAGTGAACACCTTCTTGCCATTTTGGTTTTAAAGATGATCTGTCTGCGATGTCAAGTTTGCTGTGTTATAAATTAAATATGTCATGTGTTTGCAAATTTCGAGCAGATCGAGGTCTTACATAAGCACTGCGTGTAAAATAAGATGTTATGTTTGCTGCTATAAGTCAAATTTTCAACCTATGCCTAGGCATATTTTACAAATACATAAATAATTATTTTTTATTAAAGAAAAACACTAGTCATAATGACAAAAATAGCCAAGATTTATTTATTAACAAAGTCTGACAATACATGTAGTGATTTTATTATTTTTATTTTTGGCCCTGTGCACACTTAATTTCACCTCAAATATTTAGGCTATTTATTTATTTAGTAAATAACTACAAATTACATACATTACAATTAAGATAAAATTTATAACAAACGAAATAAGTTTCAAAAAGAAGATTTTTAAATAAAAAATAGACAAGGTTAAGTGTTCAAAAACAGGTCTGACTCACTCCTTTTCTTTCGGCATATGCCATCCCAATAATACATCCTTATTTAATTACAATGAAAAAATTGCACAAAACGGCGGTTTATTTTGCTGTGGCGACCACAGATTAATAAAGGGACTACACCGAAAATAAAATAAATGAATGAAATTGCACAAAACAGTGATATTTAAAAGTAAAGTAACAGGCTATTTAAAAGTACACTTTATAAAAATCTAATTTACAAGAGCTAAAGCAACATGAAATGTGTTGAGGCACATCTGCTTTTATTTATTATTTTAGGTTTGTTATGATTTTTTTGCAGGGTGTTTATTATTTAATTGATCATTAAATCAAATTGAAAGTCTAACTATTTTGTTTATTAATCGGTTGCCTTTAAAAAAAAAACACAGAAATTAACAACCGCAGACTGTCCGCTACTCCAGATTATTTCGTTCACTCGGTACTGCGTATTCAAGTAGCCTATCAAACATTTATATTAAGGAGATATTTAGGCTATTTCATGATTTTTTTATTTTAACGTTGTTTGGGCTCAATTAGGCTGTTTTTTTTTTTTTTTTTTGTTAATGAACTGCTACACATCTTTTCATTAAATATTTAGATTATAAACTGATGTTTTAACTTTCTGACTCCAAGATTGCAATGTAATGTTCTAAATAAAATAAAGTATAGGCTGATGATTATTTTATTTGCCTGCAAATGATTTAAACTGCTGATTTTGTTTACCCAGAGGAGAACTGCATGTATACAGCGCGATATGATACAGCGTGTTTAATTCTTGTGCTATTTTAAGTGAATGTAAAAAAACCTGGAACGAACACCACTGATTACATTCTAATTTAAAAATCGGTTTGAAATTATGCGATTTGTAGGCTTATTATTATTATTATTATTTTTATTATTATTATTATTATAAATAATACCAGGGTTTTACAAACAGGAAAAATGCTATAGTTATTCATAGTAAATACTACATAGTTTAACCATAAAACAATAAA